GCAGGCCGACGCTCTATCCACTGAGCCAAACCGGTTTCGGCTGTTATTCATTTTTTTTTATATAAAGCAATTCCAGAATGGATAAAGGATCAGTTCACATTGTGTAGCTGGATCATCTTTGCCTAAACTCTGGCCTCCCCAGTCATCCCATAGCAGCAGCTGGCTGTTGACTGTTGATAGCATAACAAAGCCCTTATTATGATATAGTGTTTCTCATCTCATCACTGCTTGGTTGGCCTTTGCCATATTTCCCTGCTTCAAAAGTGGTCCTTCATAAAAGTGAGTAGAGAACATGGGCCACCTTTTACCCAGAAGTTTGTTTGTTTTTCTGGACACAGTTGTAAACAAATTCGGCTGCAGAAACATCCTTGGTATTCTGAGCAAGCAGTATCTCTTATTTTTATCAAAAATCTTATAGAGAACAAGGCTTCCAGGAGTGTCTGTCCTTTTGACAAGCCCCTGCTCTGAGACATCTGGCTAAGAATCAACCACTCTGGGGAATTCCCTTGATGAAAACAGGGAAACAGGTTACACTCTGCCTTTTTAGAGAGATGACTTCAGAAGTAAAGGAATGGAAATTAGAAAAACTGGCCCTCATCCTATTTCCTCCTTTATGCATATTTTTGCCTTTATAAGTACCTACACATTTACTTACTTGATTAAAAGAAGGCCAATAATAACTATAAATCATTTGGCAGCATTGTAAAGTTTAATTACTGTTTCTAATGTATGAATTGAACTCACAAAATGAAAGATTCTAATATATGGAATATGTGGTAAGTGCCCAATCTGGTTTAGTCTGATAATGGCCATAATTGTATGTTGTCCTACACCGCATGTCTACATTATTGTGGTTTCAGTGATTTCAAACTTGAAAAACGTATTTTTATGTTGAGGATGTGTTTAACATTGAGTGTATAGAATATACACTTGTTTTAGCTAGCCTCAGTTGGTTGATTCTTGAAGCAAATGATGTTTTATAAAGCAAGGTGGGAGGTTTTTTTTCCTTTAGATTGGTCCAAGGGGTCAAGAAGACACAGCCGGGACCGGTTTGGCTCAGTGGATAGAGCATCGGCCTGTGGACTGAAAGGTCCCGGGTTCGATTCCCCGGTCAAGGGCATGTACCTTGGTTGCAGGCACATCCCCAGTGGGGGCGGTGCAAGAGGCAGCTGGTCGATGTTTCTCTCTCATCAACGTTTCTGACTCTCTGTCTCTCTCAATTCCTCTCTGTGTAAAATCAATAAAATATATTTTAAAAAAAAAGACACAAAGTTCTGGTCCTCATACATCATATAATATCTAAGTTGGTTTGTGCCATAAAATGTAAATATCACTATCAAAATAACATACACATATTAAGATGTGCTATTTACCGAGGACTAACCTGTCACAAAGTAAAATGAGACAATAAAGTGTCAAAAGGAAGATTATTATTAATCACTAAGAAAAAATATTTTTTCCACAAAACTCACTGGAGGCTATTTCACAGAAAACTTAAATAGTAGGTTGGACTATTGGACCACTGAAATTAAACTAGAGCTCAAGAGCCAAGGATCTGTGCTTTCATAACTAACACACAACTCCAGAAAGTGAAGGATTTAGATAACCATGTCAGATTAGGAGCTATTATTACTAGAATGTAGTTGAATATTAACAGGTCAAAGCCTATCCTTTATGTTACTTATAAAAGTTTATCTTTGTATGGCAAACCAGTTTTCTTTTATCTTTATGCCCGCTCCTTTCAGTTACACTAATATTTGTCATTTAAAAAATAGCTAGCACTTCCATACATCGTTTCAAAGAATATAATTCATTAATTAGAACAGGACCCACAGTTTGTTTTGCAAAGTTCTTGGTTAAAATGCAAATCCTCCTAATAGAGGTACTTTTAGGGCATTATCAGCTGACCCATCCATATACCCGTTTTAGGAATATAACCGCATGAATTAGAACAACCTTGTTTATGATCCTAAAAATTAGCCATGGCATTATTTTATTCTCATTCAATGAAATATTCCATTCAATAAGTATTTACTCTACATATACACATGTTCAGCATCCTGAGAAATGTGAGACAAAATAAACAAAGTTTTGTGTCCATTGGTTGTACTTATATGCATGTATACAAATCCTTCGGTTGATCTATTATCTCTCCCAGATCTCCCTACCCTCCTCGCTGTAATTTGACAGTCTGCTTATTGTTTTACTGTCTCTATATCTATCTTTTGGTTCATCAGTTTATAATGTTCTTTATTATCCATAAATGAGTGAGGTCATGTGGTGTTTCTCTTTCATTGACTGGCTTATTTCACTCAGCATGATGTTCTCCAATTCCATCCAGGTTGCTGCAAATGATGAGAATTCCTTCTTTTTTTATGGCAGCATAGTAAAATAATAATAATAATAATAATAATAATAATAATAAATAAATAAATAAATAAATAAACAAAGTTTTAATGTTTGGGGATAACTTCCTTGGTCTTAAGAGTTTACAACCTCACATTAGGCACTAAGAACCATATGGTACATTAAAAACAGACAGGAGTCCCTCTTCCCCCTTTCAGGCCTCTATCTTCCTATTTGTGTGTGGCCGAGGAGCCTAAGTTCCATTAGAGCCTTGCTCTCAGCTGACTCATCAAACAGCACAAAGGTGATAATGGCCCAATGGGGTACCTTTTCTAGGAGGATTTGCATTTTAACCAAGGAATTTCCAAGACAAAAACAAAGTGAAAACAACAAAAACTACTAATAAAAAAGAACAAAGAGAGCCTGTGCAAACAAAGTTAGAAAATTTATTTCTTCTTAGGGTTCCAATAGACCTATCTCTCCCCCATGGATTTTTAGAGACAACGGAAGGGAGGGAGGGAAGGAGAGAAACTCTGTCAGACTTCTCAGTTGGTTGCCTCCTGCATGCAGCCGACCAGGGATCTAACTTGCAATCCAGGAACATGCCTTCCACCAGGAATCAAACCCCAGACTGAGGGCCGACTTTCTAACTAAGAGCTACACCAGCTAGGGCACAAACTGCTTTTATTCCACCCACAATCCGGTCACTTCCCTGCTTTTATCCTAGCCTACAGTGTAGACCCCCAAGTTTTTTGTTTTTTTTCTCTTTTTGTGCCAGGCACTCTTGAGCCTCACCTTCCTTCCTTCCAACCAGACACATCCTACATTCCAACCCCACTACACTTTCCATATTTCTATAACTAGGCCAGGCCCTCTCACAACTCCCTCCTTTGCCTGTTTCCCACTGCCCAGAATGCCTTTTACCTTCTTTGTCCGCGTCTTTTTGGCAACCCCCGCTTTAAGACCCAGCATGAACGTCAATTCTTCTGTGAAACTCCATTACAAAATTCCCCCAAATTTCTTGTTTCACCTGTTTCCGCAGCAGTTTGTACACCTGTTATAGTAGTATATGGAAATTAGTCTTGAAACACTCTTACCTCAATGGCAGGGCCTTGCATAGCTTCTGGCATATAAAGTCTTTCAATACGTGCTTGTTGCATGTTTCTCCAGTTAGAACAATCAACAGGTTTGACACTGTGTTCTCTCCTCGCAATGTTCTCAGGTTAAATAAAAACTCCCAAAGTTCTCAGGTTAAATAAAATTTACAAGGTTTACCATTTAGCAAAATTTAGAGGTTTGTTCTTATGAGTAATCAAAAATTTGGGTCGTGGAATACAATGATAGAAAATATTGTTTTAATATTTTAACCAATATTCTCCTTAAGTCTCTCCTTCTAGACAATGTATATGAGCTAAGATTTAGTAAAATTAAATGCCTTTGTTTAGTCTGTATACTACTGGGTTAATGGCTGATGGGTCGGGGTGGTCCTGGGAATTGTGGGGTGGGGTGTGTGTATTTGCGGGGGGGGGGGGGGAGTATGTTAGTTACCTTCCTATTTGTCAGCCTTAGAATGCATCCTTAAGTTTGGCTTGCCATCTTATAAAATGCTCCTGGTAAGAAGGAAAAAGGGTTCGCAGCTGCATAACTGAGAAAGATATAAAAACTCAGACCCTATTCATTAGGTCATTGGTGTCCTTCACATAAGAGAAACAATTCACAGCTCAACCAAAACCAAAAACTCCCCTTCTCGCTATCTCAACTGTTTTCCCAAGCCTATCGTGACATTCCTCCCTAGCAGCAGACGTAGTGGTATGCTGTTTTTATCCACTTCGGGTTACTCCTTTCCCTCACCACTGCCACTCCTTATTCCTTTATCTCTTGCAAAGTTTCCATTCTCCTTTCCCTTACTCCTGACTTCCTCCCTTTCTCCATCCCTCTTTCCCTCCTCCCCTCTTTTCCCATCCAGCTCACCCCGCCCCTCACAGTCACCACCTTCCCTCCCTTTCGGGATCCGTCCGGATCCCGTCTCCCACCACCTTTCTCCCCCCGCGCGCGCCGGCCGGCGTCCGCGGAGCTCCAATCAGTGGCTCCGAAGGTGTCTCGAAGGCCCGCCCCCTCCGCCAGGGCCAAAGCTCTCACCCTCCCCCCCTCCCCCACACCCCCCAAGTCCTGCGGACCTGGGGGCTTCTGGATCTGGGAGCTATGAAAAGTATCTCTTCAGTCACTTCCGGTAAGGACGCCGCGGCACGGAGCTGCCCGCGGCCCGGGACCGTTAAGGAGCCAGAGGGAGTTTCAGGGAGCAGGGTGAGGAGAGTGCCGCTTGGCTTGGGGGGGAGGGAGTGAGAAGAGGGAGCCGGAGAGTGAGAAGGGGAGCGGGGAGAGAGAGGGGGAGCGGGAGAGGGAGCAGGGGGGGGGCAGGAGGGCGAAAGGGAGGCGGGAGAGTGCGAGGGGGAGCGGGAGAGTGAAACGGGGGGGGGCGGGAGAGCGAGCGGGCGAGAGCCCTAGAGTCCGAGCGTCTAGAGCACCCCGGTAGCCGCTCTCCCGCCGCCTGCCAGCTCCTCCGCCCCCCTGGAGACCGCAGTGCTTCTCCCCACCCTCCTCCACTCTCCGGTTCAGACACCGCCCCGCTCCCGCGGCCGCGTGACCGGAAGTAGCGCCATCTTTAGCCGCTCGTGCTATTGACAATAACAAGCCTCAGCTCGCTCCCCCTCCCCCCAGCCAGGGCAGCTCCCCTCCCTCCTAGAGGGAGAGGGGGGGCGGAGCTGCCGCCTCACAGACTCACTGAGTCGCTCCTGCAGCAAGGGGGGGAGAGAGAGACCGAAAAGCAGGAACGGCGGACGGTTTGGCCGTTTACCTGTCTGCCTTCTCATTCGCTCTCCCCCCCTTGTTCTGCTCGCTCCCGGTGTCAGCCTATCCGCCTTCCCAAACCCTCCCATTCCCCCGGTGCAGCCCCCCCTTCACTTTCCTTCTCGTCCTCTGTGTTTCTCCTCTCTTCTTTCTTCCCTTCCCCCTCCAACATTGCCACCTTCTCCCCTACACGCACGCAAGGCACCTAAACGTAGGTTTTTGATGCTCCTCTGCCTCTTGACCCCGCTATTTTCATGTTTCCAACAGGTTTTTCTTCCCCCAATCCCTCAGCTGCTGCTGCTGCTCAGGAGGTCAGATCTGCCACTGATGGTAATACCAGCACCACTCCGCCCACCTCTGCCAAGAAGAGAAAGTTAAATAGCAGCAGCAGCAGCAGTAGCGGCAGTAACAGTAGTAACGAGAGAGACGACTTTGATTCTACCTCTCCCTCCTCTTCTACTCCTCCTTTACCACCTAGGGATTCGGCATCCCCTTCAACCTCGGCTTTCTGCGTGGGGGTTTCGTTGGCTGCTTCCAGCCACGTACCAATACAGAAGAAGCTGCGCTTTGAAGACACCCTGGAGTTTGTAGGGTTTGATGCGAAGATGGCTGAGGAATCCTCCTCCTCCTCCTCCTCATCTTCACCAACTGCTGCAACATCTCAGCAGCAGCAGCAACTTAAAAATAAGAGTATATTAATCTCTTCTGTGGCTTCAGTGCATCACGCAAACGGCCTGGCTAAATCTTCTACAACCGCCTCTAGCTTTGCTAACAGCAAGCCTGGCTCTGCTAAGAAGTTAGTGATCAAGAACTTTAAAGGTAACCAAGGCTAAAATCCATAATCACCTAAGATTTTGACACTTGAGAGTGGTCACGTGCCTATTTATATTAATATATTAAACAGAATAGAGGTGGCCTAATGTTTTATGCATAATCAATGAGGTGGAGGGAGGTCCTTTTTTGGGTAGAGGGTTCATTTTCCGGGGGTGGTTGGTATCCTTGTGCTGAAGCACACACCGGGTGTTTCTGTGCAGGATTTTGAGATCTATCTCAGTTTGTTATAGCTAATCTGTTATTCCTTATAATATTGACATTCGGTATGAGTGATCCGGACTTTATAGGTGAGAGATTTATATTCTAAAGAGCTTCCTTTATTTCAGGTACACAGTCTTAGCACTGCTGGAATTTTTATTTTTGTGCTCCAGTAGGCCACATTCTCAAGTTTCTAGAAATGCAGGTAGCAATGATGATCATTTCATGCTCAAAGATTTATAGTTAGATTCATAATGTTGAGTACTATATTCTTGAAACTCATTGTGGAAACAATATTTGGAGAGAAATATTTATGATCTCTGCATTTCTTTCCAAAGGTAGGGTTTGGAAGTGAAAAATGCTATATATACTCAGAAGTAGTAACTCTGTACCACTAATCAAAAGATAGGAAAAATTACTATGCCTATATTTTACCATTAAAATGGTTTTTAAAGTACTGACCTGCAGCTTTTCAGAACATTTGTTCATTTTTCTGTTTGAGATATGTGATTGAGAGTATTATGAATACATTGATAAAAGTATAAAATTAGCAATTTAAAGAATGTCAATTGAGCTGAATTAGTTTGCATCCGTTGGCTGTGTTTCTGTTTTTCTGACTTTTTCAACAATCTTAGCTGGCAGGTAATAGATGCTAAACTGTTAAATGGAGAAGTAAATGAATGAACTAAAGTAATTACCATATTAGTGCCTTGTGACTATCAATATTGGGAAAATAGATTTTTCATGCTTGTGTTTTCAACATTAATTTAGAAATCTGGAATATGCTTTATTTTGTCTCAAGTAGAGGGTTATAGTGTTGTTTATTTTTAACCTTTTTTCCTCCCTATCACTCCTCTTCCATTCCCAGGCTCTCAAGAGTGTGTTGTAATCTTCCTGGTTTAATAGTAGACTTTTCTGAAGTAGATATAAATTATAATTGACTAATGTGTTCACTGTTTCACTTAAAATACATCGATTTATAGCCAAGCGTCTTTAAATGGATGAGCTATGATCCTAATTGTATTTGCATACTGGTTTTGGATTTTTTTTCTCTTCCTCTTAAATAGAAAACACATTAAGGCATTTAGATGTTTTAATTTGAAAAAAATACTCTTTGCTAATAAATTAAAGCCTGGATTAACATGTTCCTTTCTGAAAATGCTACATAGGTTCTGAAGGCATTGGGGTGTTTTAATTTTTAAAAATCTCTCTGTGCTCAATGTAGTTTAAATTCAAACCTGAATTAAAAATGTTTGTCTCCATTTATGTAGACCCTGCATAAATGTGGGGGCCAAACAGATTTGGATTAGAATCCCAATTTTGCTACTGACTGACTATAGTGACCTTGGGCAAACCTTACTAAATAAATCTTCCAGCCTCAGTTTTCTCAGTTGCAAAATAGGGAAAAAGATAACTATTTCAAGGCATTATTAGGAAAATTAAGATGTTTATAAAGTACCTTGTATATAATAGGTTCTCAGTATTTTAAAACTCAGGTATAAAATTCATGTTGACTGACTGAAGTTTTACACAAGATGGAATAAGATCAGGATTGCTTTTTTTATTTGTCATTCTTGAATTTTTATTTTTTGAAGCAATAGTCAAAAGTAGAAAAAAACTCACTTTCAGTTTTAATAGGTGTCTCAAAATGACTTAAATAATATTCTGCCATTTCACATTTTATTCTTTATACTAAGCCTAAATACAGAGATTACTTTAATATTTAGGTGTAATAATTACAAAGCTCACAATTTACCCTTAAAAAGTAGTAATACTATTGTATTTTATGGATCCTTCTGTTGCTCTGACAAGTTGTGTTGCTCTATCCTACATATTATTCTGATATCAACTTTATATATATATATATATTATCTAGATAAGCCTAAATTACCAGAAAACTACACAGATGAAACATGGCAGAAACTGAAAGAAGCAGTGGAAGCTATCCAGAATAGTACTTCGATTAAGTACAATTTAGAAGAACTCTATCAGGTATGTATTAATGTGGATAACCAGCTTTGGTCAGTGTAAAATGAGTTGGATGAATACAACTTTTACTTTGTTTTTACATTTAGAAATTTTTTCAATTTTAGTTTACACTTAATAATATTCTTTATTAGTTTCATGTGTATAGTATAGTGGTTAGACAATCATATACTTTACAAAGTATTCTCCCTAATATGGGTCCTTATGTAGCCTTTTGGTTCCCCTCAAAGTTCAATTTCTCATTAATATATATAAATTTACGCATACTTTAATAAGCTATGGGTGCAATCATATTGGTATAAATTGGGCTTATCTTGGACCCTTCTGATTATGATTCACAATTAGGAGTACTTTTGTATAACAGAGGTTTTACCTATGCCTGAATCCTAAAGATGAATTCTGGTGACATGTCATTCTGTTGTACTTGCTAAGTTGTATTACCTATAGGAAAGGCCTCAAGAAATGCAGATATTCTCCAAATACTTTGGTCTACTTCCTTCCTGTTAGCCTTTTTCCATTTCTTTTTCTTTTTGTGTTCTTCTTAGCCCTGGGACACACCTTACACAAAAAATGAGCTGCAGGTTTTAGCCCAGCAACTTGGCGTGAGGTCCAGGTTTGTTTTTCATGCTTAGCAAATGGGTCTGTACTTGAAGTGTTTAATTTAAATATACTCTTAAGGACAATTAATAATTTAGACTTCTTGCTACCAACTTATTTTGCCTTACTGAATTTTTAAAATTGATTTTATGGAAAGGAAGGGACAGAGAAACAAAAATCAGATGCCTCCCGAACACGCCCTGACCAGGAATCAAACCTGCTACCTTTTTGGTGTATGAGATGATGCTCCAACCAACTGAGCCATGTTGGCCAGGGCTGCCCTACTGTATTTTTTTAAATACATTTTTATTGATTTCAGCCGAAGCCGGTTTGGCTCAGTGGTAGAGCGTCGGTCTGCGGACTGAAAGGTCCCAGGTTTGATTCCGGTCAAGGGCATGTACATTGGTTGCAGGCACATCCCTGGTAGGGGGTGTGCAAAAGGCAGCTGGTCAATGTTTCTCTCTCATCGACGTTTCTAGCTCTCTATCTCTCTCCCTTCCTCTCTGTAAAAAAATCAATAAAAATATATTGATTTCAGAGAGGAAGGGAGAGAGAGAAACATTAATGATAAGAATCATTGATCGGCTGCCTCTTACACACTCCACACTGGGGAGCGAGCTCCCAACCCAGGCTAGTGCCCTGACTGGGAATCAAACCATGACCTCCTGATTCAATCACTCTCAACCACTGAGCTAGGCCAGCCGGTCTGCCTTACTATATTTTTGACACAACCAATTTAAGAAGTTATTTTGCATTATAGCATCAGCAGTTTTGTATTTTAAAAAAATATATTTTAGAGTCCAGTAGTTTGAGTTTTTGCATTAATGAGTAGCTTGTGAGAAATTATGTTGTTGGGTTGATCAGAATTCATAGTTTTATGATATATATGTTCATTTTTTCTATTTAAATATGTTTTTATTGATTTTAGAGAGAAAGGGAGGGAGAGAGAAAAACATGGATTGGCTGCCTCCTGCATGTTCAGATTCAAGTCTGCAACCCAGGCATGTGCCCTGACGGGATAGCAAACCCATTATCTCTTGGTGCATGAGAAGATGCTCAACCAACTGAACCACACCATCCAGGGCTCATCTGTTCATTTTAGTTGCAGAGGTAGTATGGTGATTGACAAATCCTAGATTAGGATCTAGTTTTGATTGCAATTACCCTTTTGATCTTGGGCAAGGAATTCAGCTTTAGTTTCCTCCTCTGTAACACGGGGGGGGGGGGGGGGGGGGGGGAATGCCTGTCCTATTTACCTATGGGGTTGCTTATAAGAATCAAATGTGAAAAATACCTTGAAGCACTATGATATAGAAATATAAGTCAAACTTAATTCATAAACCAGTGTGGCCTTCTCACTTGTGATTTGTCAATTGAGATCACCATTTCCTGTTGCTGTGAAAATTAAATGAGTCAATGCATGCAAAACACTAAGAACAATGACCAACACATGGTAATAATGCTATGTAATACCATATGCATTACAGTGCTGATATCTTATGGATTATAATGTTATGCGTTAGATAGTAGTAGTAGTACCTCAGCTATTGCTTCAGGATAAACCCAATTCATTTGGCTATGTTGTTAGATTCCTTACAAGGCTCCTGAGTTGTACAACAATAAAAGTAGAATTACAGAGTTAAGGGTTAGAAAGGCTATAAAATATAAAGGCTTATTTCTTATCTCATTTAAGCATTATAGAAACCATTTGTGAAGTAGATAGGATAGTAATTATTATTCTATTCTAACAGGGAATCTGAGTCTCAGGGAAGTTAAATAATGTACCCAGAGTCATATATTGGCACAGCAGGAGACTCAAACTAAGATGCCCAAGTTTCTATTTCTAGTTCAGTGCACTTTCCCTACCATGCTTCCTCACTAATACTCCAAAGCCTCTGTAGTGCAGTGTTTAAAGCAAATAGATTTACTTTAGGAGAAAAAAACTCATCATCAAAGCCGATTTTTTTCATTTGTGCATATATAGGGTGTTTTATTTGGATACACTGTACAGCACCTTTAATTTCTATGGTGTGGTATTTTCTTTAGTTCATTTTTATGACATTAATTTTGGTTGTTAATTTACCTTGTTACTTTACCTTGAATATTTTTTAGAGCTTTTAGGTTCAGAAATAGTTTTCCTGATACATTGATTCTGTGATATCCATTTATGTTTTAAGAGTTCATAGCTTATATTTTTATGTTTTTTGTTTCTTGTACTTCAGAATTATTACCTGCATTATTCTACCTAAAATCAGTGTTACGGTTTTTATTAGATATATTTTTATTGATTTCAGAGAGGAAGGGAGAAGGAGGGAGAGATAGAAACATCAATGAGGAGTGAGAATCATTGATCAGCTGCCTCATGCATGCCCTGGACTCGGTATCAAAACTGGGACCCTTCAGTCCGCAGGCCAACGCTCTATCTACTGGCTAGGGCAGAGTTGTAACTTTTCACTATTTGCTTTTTTCATAGTAATTTACTACAGCTGCTAAAGTAAATTCAAAAGCTAGTTCTTCTTTTAAAATATATATGTATTTTGATTTCACACACAGAGAGAAATATCAATGATGAGAATAATTGATCAGCTGCCTCCTGCACGCCCCCTACTGGGGATCAAGTCTGCAAACCCAGGACTTTTCAGTCTGCAGGCCTACACTATCCACTGAGCCAAACCTGCTGGGGCTCTTTTGTTGTTGTTTTGAACATACCAAGATTTTACTGTAATATAATAAAACAAAATATGAAGCTTAGAGCTGGATCACTTGATCCTTTCTCTTCTTATCTCCTCCCAGTTCAAAATGCTTGCATCTCTTAATAGCTAGCATTCTCTTAGATCTGCAGTTAGGCTTAACGCATTCAAGCCTCAGCACAATCTTCTTTATAGTTTTAGCCTTTTTTCCAGAAAATCAGCTTAGTCTGCCCACCATAGCCACTCTGCTCCCTGTCATAAGGCACTTTTCCTGAGCATATAGATAATCCTTGCCCTTCTTGTACTATGTTACTCTGTGGGGTTGATGCTTGCCTTACTTCTTACACAAAGTTTGGCAAGTTTTAGGAACGTTCATCATGTTTGCGAGACTACTATCAGCAAGGAAAGGTCTTTTGTTGTTTTTTTACCATAATTTTATAAATGCTTCTTTGGATTCTAAGAAAGATTATTTTGAGATGTTCAAGTTCAAAAAAGGATAAATGAAGTAAAATTATTTCATATTATCTGGATTTCAGGTGTTTGATTTTGACCGGTTGAAATGTAATTTAAAATTGAAACAATATAGAAGTATATAGTATACCAAACAAAAGTTCTCCAAACCTCTCATTATCCATCCGACCCTCTATCTCTTATGTCACCATTTATTTGACATATATATATATATATATATATATATATATATATATATATATGCAGAACTTTTTTCTGTTTATAAAATCGTTTTTGCTTTAAAGCTTAAGCATGAAAGTCCCTAGTGTGGATTGCATGTACTACTCCTAAGTTTTTTTGGTCTTTTTAAAATTTTTTATTATTTTACTTTTTTATTTTATTTATTATTATTTTTAAGGTATTATATGTGTACATATTTTACCAATCCTCCCCTACTTCCATACATGCCCTCCCTCCCCAGAATTTTGCATTCATTGGTTATGCTTATATGCATGCATACAAGTCCTTCGGTTGATCTCTTACCTCCCCCATATCTCCCTCCCCTCCCCACTGTAATTTGACAGTCTGTTTGTTGCTTTACTGTCTCTGTATCTATCTTTTTGTTCATCAGTTTATAATGTTCCTTATTATCAATAAATGAGTGAGATCATGTGTTTTTCTTTCATTGACTGGCTTATTTCACTCAGCATATGTTCTCCAATTCCATCCAGGTTGCTGCAAATGATAAGAATTCCTTCTTTTTATGGCAGCGTAGTATTCCATTGTGTTAGATGTACCATAGTTTTTTGATCCAATCATATGCTGACACAGCCACTTAGGCTGTTTCCAAATCTTAGTATTGTAAATTGTGCTGCTATGAACATATGGGTGCATATATCCTTTTTGATTGGTGTTTCTAGTTTCTTAGGTTATATTCCTAGGAGTGGGATTACTGGATCAAATGGGAGTTCCATTTTCAGTTTTTTGAGGAAACTATACTGTTTTCTACAGTGGTTGCACCAGTCTGCATTTCCACCAGCAGTGCAGGAGGGTTCCTTTTTCTCCAAATCTTTGCCAGCACTTGTCGTTTGTTGATTTGTTGGTGATAGCCATTCTGACAGGCGTGAGATGGTACCGCATTGTCGTTTTGATTTGCATCTCTCAGATAATTAGTGACTTTGAGCATGTTTTCATGTGTCTCTTTGCTTTACTTCTGTCTTCTTTTGAAAAGATTCTATTTAGGTCCATTGCCCATTTTTTAATTAGATC